AATCGAGGGATTTGATTTAACAAACACCGATCTTAGTTTTAGACTGTGGCTTACGAGTTACCCATCTGATAAATTTCCTCAGTCAGTTTTGCAAGTTGGTGTAAAAATGACCAATGAACCACCTACGGGTCTTCAACATAATTTAAATAGATCTTATCTTTCGGAACCTCTGAAAGAACCTGAATTTTTTGAAGGCTGTCCTGGTAAAGATAAAACATTTAGTAAGCTTTTGTACGGAATAAGTTTTTTTCACGCCGTGGTACAGGAAAGGAAAAAATTTGGACCACTAGGATGGAATATTCAGTATGGTTTTAATGACTCCGACTTTCATATTTCAGTTATGCAATTACAGATGTTTTTGAACCAATATGAAGAGATACAATATGTTGCTATAAAGTATTTAACTGGTGAGTGTAATTACGGAGGAAGAGTGACGGATGATTGGGACAGGAGATTGATTGTAACTATTTTAGACAATTATGTCAACCCTAATGTAGTTAATGATCCTAACAATTTATTTTGTGACTTGGGTCCTCAATATGGCCTACCACGGAGATGCGAGTATCAAGACTATTTAAAACATATCGAATCAGTTCCTGTAAATCCTCCTCCTGAAGTCTACGGGCTTCACATGAATGCAGGAATAACGCGTGACTATTCAATATCCATGGCTCTAACGACCTCCCTGGTCTTAGTTGAAGGTGCAGCTGGGGGTGGTGAAGGTGGTAATACCGAAGTAATATTAACTCAGATGGCAACAGAAATTTTGTCAAAGCTACCTCAGTCATTTGATATTGAAACAGCACAGCAAAAGTATCCAGTGGATTATAATGAATCCATGAATACAGTATTGATTCAAGAAATGCAAAGATTTAATAAACTGTTGCACGAGATTAAAACTTCCCTGATCGATTTACAAAAAGCTGTGAAAGGAGTGATTGTCATGTCACCGGCACTTGATTTGCAGTCTAATTCCATGTTGCTTGGTAAAATTCCAGATAATTGGGCAAAGGTTTCTTATCCTAGTTTAAAACCATTGCCAAGCTACGTAGCTGACTTTATTGATCGTCTAGCCATGTTAGAAAATTGGAACCAACACGGTAAACCACCCACATTTTGGCTCTCCGGATTCTTTTTCACACAAGCTTTCCTTACTGGTTCTGTACAAAACTATGCCCGAGCTAAAAGAATACCGATAGATCTACTAATTTTTGATTTTGAAGTATTGCGTGTCGATTATGAAGAAACTCCTCCTGATTTCGGAGTTTATGTCCAAGGACTTTTTGTAGATGGAGCTAGATGGGATCGGGAAAAGTATGCAATCGGCGAACAATTTCCAAAAATATTAAATGATAATATGCCAGCTGTGTGGCTTTTCCCGAAAATGAAAAAAGAGTTCGTAGAAGGTACAAGATATAAATGCCCATTATATAAGACGTTAGAAAGAAAAGGTGTTTTAGCCACAACAGGACATTCTTCCAATTTTGTCTTAGCATTTTACTTGCCTTCAGATAAACCTTCTGCACACTGGATAAAGCGCAGTGTTGCACTCATATTACAATTAGACAATTAGAATAATTTTACTGTATAATTTTTATTTATATTTAATGTAGTTTTTGATGACAAAATAAAAACGACTACTTAGGGATTGTCCATTAATCACGTGAGGCTTGAAAGGGGGGGTAGGGGTTTGATAAAAATCACGAAAATAACACAAGGGGGAGGGGGGGTGTAGTAAGATATCTCGTGTATCTATTTTTTCGTCTAACGCGCGATTTTTAAACAAATATTAATTTATTATGGTCCTTAATTTCAGAATAAAATAAGATTATAGTTTATACCTGTATTTAAATTAAGATAATATTCAGAAAATTTTAAGATTCGTTGTAGGTACTAAAAATACACGTAATGTTGAGGAGGGGGAGGGGGGGTGGTCTTAAACCTCACTACGTATCACCATTGGGGGGGGGGGGGGGTTAAAAATGCTAAAAAAAGATCACGAGATTTATGGACAACCCCTTAATTATTTTTTTAAAACCATTGGCTCAGGAATGAAAAGACACGGTTCCACTTATTTTATTAGAAATTCTAAATAGAATTAAATTAAATCGATGATATTAATATTAAACTTTTATTTTGTAATTAATTTATTATGCTGAGTGTATTATTTTTAAATAAATCATTAATAAAAAAATATATTGTTTAAATTTGAATTTTGAGCACATGTTCATAAAAGAATAGAATTTTGAAAAAAGTTCTAATGAGAAAAGTTTCTAAGATTAAATTACTCGTATTAGATGTAAGACTCGCGAGTATTCATTTAAATAAATATAATTTTTGCGTATATTTTATCAATTAAAAGCGTCCTTACAATTAATGTCAAGGACAATGATTAAGAAGTATAATAGTCATTGTTTTATACGTATGTAGTAATAGAATTAATTTTTCAAACAAACAAACTTACATAGTCAAAAGTTGTAGTGTCAAAAGCAAACTTGCCTTGAGCATGTGTTTATTTATGCTAACTCAAAAGAAAATAATGTTAAAAATATAAAGCTTGTACGAAAAAATGTTGCCAAAAAATTAATGTAAATTGAATTTGATGTAGAAAATGGAATTATTTATGTAAAATAGAATTATATATGAACTAAAAGATACTAACTTGGAACTACCTTGGAATGTGACTACCACCACGATGAAGTAAATAATCCCAAAACACTAAATACGCAAATGTGATTATTAAAATATTTCTCAGATACTTTCTCAGCACGTTAACGATAAAGGAAACAATTATAGAATATATAAAATTGTTCTTAATTCACAATTTGTTCATCGTGATAAGGTTTTATCATTCAAATACAAATAAAAAATGTGATGTTTTCGTGAACAATCATCTAAAGATCTGACCTCGCCAGTAATCAACATCGTTATTAGAGTGTGACAAATTCTATATATTATACGAAAAGAGCACATAACAATAGAAAAGTAGTAAATAACTGAGACAGGTTGATAAACGACCAAATAAATAAAAATTTTATATTATTTCTAATTACATTAATTACACCTCTTTATTTGGCTTATAAAGATCATTAGAAAATCTAATTTATGTAAATAAAAACAGATTTAACACATTATTCTAGTAGAATTAAATTATCTGATTTAAATCAAATTAAAAAAAAGTATTTAACTAAAATACTCACTGTAGTCATCTTTGTTTTGTATCGTTGTGTACTGATAATCGACATTGTAATAAGTGCTACTCGATCTTTGGAATATTTCACTTACATTCGGTTGCATATTTATAATATTTAAATTCATATATTAAACTGCAGCTGACCGAACCGTGTATTAGATCACATTGTTTTACTACCGCTGTCCGCTACGTCAATAATAATACGGTTGATAAGCTTATCATTCACTGATATGTCAGCACTTACAGTTACTTTGTACATAGACATTTATAATACTGAGATGTGTAAATAGAAATAACATAACAAATTATGTTAAATCATTATCATTGTGTGTTTTGTTGTCGACATCTCATGTCCGTATCTTGATACATGATTGATAAAATAACAAAAACTGATTATATCAGTATCCAATACTTTTTTTAGAATGTATAATTCTGTATTGTTGATATATTTATATCGATATTAAGGTCAGGTGATTTATAATGCACTAGGGCATAAACAATGTGTAGAAGGACATTTAAATTATCTGTTACTTTTAACTTGATTTGGTAATACATTGATCTAAAGTCTTGGTTTAATTATCACTGACATGTTACAAATATTTGTAATTAGACGATAAAGTATTAAATTTTCAACCACAATAGTTTATCCAAAGAGTTGTTTGTCTTTGATATTCATTTGAATGGTTTTGAAACTAGATAAATTCTATAGTGATGCTAGAATGTAAGAAAGAAGAACAGTTCCAGCAGGTTCCAAAAAGAATTTTTATTTCGATTTACTTTTTACCGTAACATGTGGCAAAGTAACCCAGATTAGGACTCAAATATTTAATTGCTTTTGTTTAGATTAACTTTTATCAATAAAGATTTTTACTCCATTTGGATCCTTTCTCTTTGTTAACTGTTTAAATGTTCAGTGGAGAAATGGAGCTGGGTTATTTTTATTTCTTTGGTCAAAATATGTTTGTGCAAGGGACACAATGACTTTTTTGATAGCTTAAAAATAAGTTTCATATCCAATGAACGTTTAAATACAAGTTGAGATCGGGTTTGGTCCATGAGTATTAATTAATATATAAAATAAGTTCCAGGCACATTATCACCAATATTAGAAATAATTTTTAATAATGCCAAAATTCATTCAAATACAATTTAGCAAGTTATAATGTCACTAGTCTGCTGTTTTTGTATGGATAAATGATGTAGCCCTTTCGGCTTTAACGGAGTAAGACAAAGAGTTTTCAATACATATTTTACATTTTGGATTATCATTTTCATACCGACGAAATCTACATAAATCATATTTTATAATCAACTTTCCCTCAATTTAAAATTTCGTAAATTTATAGTACCTTTTTATCTATATTATTTTAGATATTTCTTTTAGATTTCTTTGATATGGGTAAACCAATGGTATTAATGAATCACTATAATATAGATTTTTTTTAATGTGCTAAAATTCTTGTAGTAACGGTATTCAGAAATATTAATATGACAGCATATAAAAGGAAATATTCAAATGGGTGTTATAAGTTCTAAACTATTTTAGTTCTTTTTTAATTGTCGATAATATTGAGTTTTTATTAGAACTAATGACTTGAAACATCGTATAAAACAATTACAAAATTAAGTTTAATTGCAAAAACAGCTGAAATTTTAGAACGAGACTGACAGTGACAGAATCTAAACAAAGACTTACAGCTGCAACTGCCATTCGGCAATTGAAAGTTGTCCTCACGTAAATACCGTTTACCGACATATATTTAATAGGGAATAATATGCCATATAGTTCCCTAACAAGCTATTAAATATGAATGATATCCTGAGACCGGAATTGCTTTGGATAGAGGGAAGGTGCTACAGAGTGCATGATCCAGCAACGGAATTAACAGCTTTTCAGGAATACGATTTATACGAAAATGGTAATAAATACTTATTATTAAAAACTTCTTTCTGACTGGCTTATAATTCTTTAAACCTTTGTCCTAGACACTCCATTAAACGAAGTGGATGAAGACGACGATGACACAGCTTATGAGATAATTATGATAGATAGCAACAGATATACAACTAATATGCACGTTCCCAGGTATGCTCGCTTTTATCAACCATCAAAAATATACCATTTATACTCCAGATTCTTTGAAAATTTTTTTTACTCCTTTTAATTTCTTTTACTAAATTGATCTTTTTTAATTTAGGAATAACTGTCGGGTTATAAAAAAAACCAGGTTTCTGTAACTTAACATGTTAATATTGATAAAATTATTCAGTTTAAATTAAGTAAAATTTTTTAGGCATTACATTGGATCAATTATTGGTAAAAAAGGTGCAACAATCAGCCGAATTGGTAGAGATACAAAAACTGTTATCAAAATACCACGACATGGGGAAAATTCAGATATATCTATTTTCGGACCCAGTGCCACTGTAAGCATCTGTTTTTCAAAAAATTTTCCTCAAAATTAGGATTATTCAAATGTCACATGCAAAAATTATTTCATATTTTCAGTTGAACTATGTATTGTTATTATGATTTCAGAATGTTAAAGCAGCCATACGTCGGATCAACATAATTGTGATGGCAGCAAGAATGAAGCAAAAACCCACACACTTCATATCAATACCAATGAATGCGACTAATATAATGGAAGGTTTTGAAAGATTCAAAGTATGACACTCAAATATACTTGAAACTGTTTACTTAATAATTTAACAATAATTAGAACATTCTTTCAGGTACAAGTCCTCAAAGATTGTCCGAACATAGAGGAGTCATTGTTCATTCGATCAGCAAAACTACATATAACATTGGGAGTTATGTGCTTAATGGACAATGAAGAACGTCAGCTGGCATCTAAACTGTTATTGGAGGCAAAAGATAAATATATAATGTATGTTTCTTCATATTATTTACATATAGATACAGGTTGAAAGTCCCTTATTATTTGAAATGTTGCTGTTTGAGGAATATATATAATATATCTGTTTTATGATTAGGGGTAGCATTTTGTAGTTGTTAAATACTATGTATAAACTTAATTTAATGCTTTAAATTGTGGGAAGTCATAACAATCACAAGAGCTAAAGAAGTTTTCATCACTAGGCATACTCTAAGCAGATTAGTGTAACAATGGGTGGTTTTAAGCTATGTTGGACTCAAGCATATTAATCAAGAAATGTCTTAAATCTTACATTTGACTTTAGCCTCAATTTAAAAAAAAACTACTGTATTAATAACTTCTTTCACATACATAATCATGAAGCATTCAAATTGTATTGCAATGACTTAGGTTCCTACATTATATGAATATTAAATTCTATAAATCCTAAATATAATGCTATCCCAAAGTTAAGTAACATTGCATAATTCTTTTTTATTAGAACACTTCATTTCTGACTCTCTTTCTTGGACTGTATGATAATAAATATATTTAAATTCAATTATTATGCCATATGATTAGCTTTTAACTAACTAACTTTTTTAAGCTAACTGTTAAAAGAATTGATATTTAAGTGGACTATAACTTAATTTCCAGGCCAATAGTGAAAGACTATCTGCCATTGAAAATCAGATTAAAAGGCTTATCATATATGAATGATGATCCCAAGGCCGTTGATGTTTTATATGGCTGTGTTGAAGAAGTTGACGCCCCTTCAGGAATATTACAGCAATTAGTTGACTCCATATTTAATCACTTTAAAAATGCAGGTATAACCACCTTATATACTTTGTTTTTTTTTTACCATGTGTCATGTTCGCCAGATTTTCAATAGTTAGTAATTATGTTTTAAAATTGTATTTGTATTGATATAGAATTAATATATTAATTAAATATATAATTATTTATTTGTGGCATAGTTTGAATCTGTGATACTAAGCTGTCATGATGACATATGAATAGCTTTCTATATTATTATTGATATAAGTGTAACCTATTATTGTTTTCAGGTCTAATGCATAGTTCTCAGAATCATGAAAAAGATAATATTAAGATGCATGTAACTTTGTTGAATTCAAAGTACAGACAGAGACAGCAGAATTCAGATTTAACAGATAATAAACATAAAAGGGAGACTTTCGATGGTTCTGATGTTTTGATGAAATTTTCCGATTATGACTTCGGTGTTACGGAACTTCGTGATGTGCATTTATCGCAACGTAATACTTCAGGACCGGAAGGTTATTACCTGTCAACTGTCATTATATCTGTCAACTGACCTGTCATTACATCTGTCATTATATGATGTGTCAATTACTAGATTATAAGGAATATTTTTACACAGTAATGGCACTGGCAGAATATATTGTGCACAATTTTGCATGGACGCAGGCCATGTGTAAAATAACCAACCAACCATTTTTATAAAATAAAAATTGTTAAACTTGAAGTGGTCTTTCTATTGATTATGCGTTCAGTTATTACATTGATAAAATAATTTTTGTATTTAGTTACAAATTATCATTCTGTATACTTTAAAGGTATATTTTACGCCAAATGGTTGCATAACGACGGAAATATCAAGGTTTTTTCTTATTTACATGTTATTATGTTTACTGTTAGTTAAATGAGCTTTAAAGCAGGTTTGTTAAGTTTCTTAAAATGTAAAATTTGTTTTTTATTCGTTTTTTTACGAATGCATTTTTATGTTATCGTTACCCAGAAAGTGTGATTAATTTTATTTCAATTCATGGAAATGATGATGGCATTTGTTTCATTGCTATTACTGAACGGATGAACTGTTGTGAAAAAGCTTATGATACCTAATTTTAATTGAATTAAATAAAAAATATATATCGCGTTCACTGTGGTTCCACGGTTATACCGGCAAGCTTGAAGTATTTAATCATACGCCTAAATGTCTTTCATAATTTTAGACAAGTACTGATCAGTAACAGTTTACAATACTGAGCCCTTATCAACCAATTATAGCAAAGAACTACACCACTACAAAGTATGTATTTACATTCGGACAACAGATTAAAAATAAACTATGAATATAATCTACAATCGGTTCTAAACAAAGAAAATGAACTATAATCCTCAATAGGAAATAAAAGGTTCATCAGATTTAATATAATATAAAAATAATAATTTTTATTTGCTCTGAATGTAGGTACAGAATATATGTAGGTGTATAAATAGATTTTAGTATAAGTTCCAGTACATTCTACCTTAAGGCATGTAAATATTAGGCTTAAATTATAAATTAAAATTAACTGTTAAATTAAAATTAGAAATTAAATTAACAATGCAATTATAATTATAAATTCATATTAAATATTACAGATGAAAATTAATAATGATAGATAGATACATGATTAACTTATATATATTATACATTTTTTGTTCATCAATTTATTACAATATTATGTCTTGTCCATTAGATAATCATTTACGGAGTAATAACACTTGTTGACTAGTAAGGAAAAAAAAGTTTTTTAAATTTTACATAAGTCTTTTATTTCATTCGGTATTTTGTTGTATATAATAGGGGCCATGGTCAATATGTTCCTTCTCAATAAAGCAGTTTACATAACTTATTACGGCTGACGATAAATTTATAATATATTCATATCTAATTTAACCGATTCTTATTTAATAACCAATACAGATCTGAACGCAATTCGAAATAGCTAAAGTTTAAGCATCTATGTATAAGACACAATCTTAGGCTAAGAACTTTATGTTTAAAATTAATTTCATGACAAAATGTCAGATCCTAGTTATCAGCGATCAGCCCACGACTAAACATTACCTACCAGTAGTCTCGCCCACACTAAACTTGTATTTCCATTATGTATACTTAAATATATATAATATATAACAAACATACATACGTACTTATGTCTGTCAGAAAAACCACGTATTGGAACATAACAACCTACGCATTTCCAGTATTAAATGTCAAACCTCGCTGTCTATTGAAATAATTCAAAGGGATCATATAAGTTATATATCGTCGTGATCAGCCTATCAGAGCCCACTGCTGAGCAAAGACCTCTTTCTCACGTGGAGAAGGTTTGAGCATTAATCACCACGCTTGCTCAAGACGGGTTGGTGATTTCAAACTTATATATTGTGAATTAAGTGAATATATTATGCAAGTCTTATTATGCAAGTCTATATTATGGCGGTAGGTGATAAAAATGACCAGACCAACTGACAGACACTCACATCTCGTCTGCCCGTGATCACGGTTGCTGAAAAGTAGCCGAAACGTCGGGAGTATGTAGTTAATAATCAAAAATAAATACGCGAAGTAAAATCCGAAAATATTAGTTTCATTTAAATGAGTACTCGCGAAAATCTTAGATCTCAATAAGTCTTCGTTAAATTGTTGTGATAATAATATTATTATTTAAATAAGAAATACTATTGAATAACACTTTGACGATGAACGTAATAAAGTCGTTTTCATTTAAATGATTTTAATATGCCTCTTTAATATTAAAACAACGTACTTTTTGATAATATAGGTTTTCTATAGAGCTCATCAGTTTATCTCCTAGTGATAAGACCGTGTCCATAATGAATTTAAATTACTAAGATGATTTATTATGGAAATAGCTTTAGCTTAAAAGCACGCTATATATTTTATATTGCATTTTAAATATTACTATTCTGTATTAATCATATTGATGTTGAAATATGACTGACATGCTTCCAGTTTAGTTATCTTTTATCTATTATTTGATTTACTCAAAATAATGTTATATAATATTAAATAGTAAAAGGGATTGCTGAATAAATTTAACTTTGGTTTTAATAATGATTATGACAATAATTAATTCTAATTTCTTAACAGAAGGGTTTCATATATATACATATGTTGTGTCTAAACCAATTCTGTTAATTCATATAAATATATGTATATAAAATTTTCTAGATCAATTCTGTTGGATAAATTTTTATATTTGAACACTAAGCAAGATTATTTCAGACAGTAAACGAGCCTAGGCGCGGCTCGTTCCTAACAAGCACAGATATTCAGATTATTCGAGTTTCCATCCCAACGACTTTTATCGTCTATACCTCAGGCCGCTTTACTTTGAAATACGTCTTGAATTACATCGAAGAGAGAGATTTAAACAGATCTTCATATTATATTTTATATTTGAAATTCTTTTTAATTTATAAACTGAAATATATATACAAATATTGTTTTAAATATATATTCCATTCATTAAAATCTATATGTACATTATACATTGCAGTTATTTTTTATAATACAACATCCTTATTGGTAATAATTACTCACATTGTGTGTGTGTAATTTAAATTATAATTAATATTCTGTGCGTAATATTTCGTAGCTCCATGGTTACGAACCGTAGCGGCGTAGCGGCAGTGTAGACGCAACGTCTACGAGGGGCGAGCGTCTGTTCAGACACAGTTATATAGTGACGTCATTATACATATATCGATAGGTAAGTTAATATTAATATAAACTAAATAATTATATATATGTAGAGAAAAATATCATAATTATTAGTAATTAATTTTAATTAATTTCATGTTATAATCTTTACATAATAGTTAATTATGTAATTAATCTTAATTAATATATATTTTATTCTTAAAAAATATATATAATTATAATTCCATAATAAATTATAGACAGTTGTGATAAGAATATCAAAAGATATTTATCGCAATGCCGTGTTTGATTATAAGGTTAAATTACTTCACACGCTTTCTTTCCTTTTATAACATTAGAAGCACTTTACTATTTTAAACCCTGAAAGTTTACGCTATTTATTTCCATATATACCTAAGAAATCCTTATATAAGTGGATAAATTATATAAATCAAAGATATTCAAGATTATCTATTTATTTCTTGCTCTGCGTATTTCCTCCAAGCGGGTCAGGGCCATATCTCCCCTTCTCAAACCCATTTACATGTGCATAATTCCAACAAGAATAAGGGGAATAGATATCACGAGATCGAGACATAAGTGACATTTTTTATCAGTCTTATCATGATTTTTACGTTACAAATATTATTATCGTAATATTTATTATAAAAAAATTATGATTCTGATTCTAATATTGTTAGTTTTAATTACAAGAATGATAGTCCTTTGTTGTATGTCAAATCATGGTTAATATTGATAGTTATTTAAGTGAATCCTCCTTAAAGGTTTAAATGATTACAAAGATATTATTATCATTTGAAGTAGTTCGTCGATTTATTCCAGGTGAAATAACAATTTCTTGATACAATTCAGTGAAGTAGACATGAGTATCATACACTATTTTTACCTACACTAAAACTGATGAGAATAATTCAAGTTTTTTAAGGATTTTGTATATAATAAACTATAATAAATAAGTATTTAATGTTGTTTTGTTAAATACGAAAGGATGCAAGAATTCTTCTTAAATTTTATGTACGTTTTTATTTATATATTTTTATTTAATTCTATATATATATGTATACAATAAGTCGATATTATAATACGTGTTATTTTTTATGTATTAAAAGTAATATTTTTATTAATATATATATGTTGTTACGTAAGTATGTATTTTTCTTAGAGATAGGATATACTAAGAATAGTCATGGGCAAAATACATATATTGACAATCCTTCCGAACATATATGTATTTTAAGAACGTAATAATAAAAGTTACAATATAATTTCTTATACAATATAACAGATTAATTGATTGATTTTAATAATCTTGACATTTTTATTTATCCCTCAATATTTGATATAACTCAATAATCTCATAGAAAATAAATATTACCAAAACAAAGGATTCCATTCATTTCATATAAGCTAATACCAGCTGTTAAAAAGATTAAGAGAGTGAAACATGTGTCTGAATTTAAATAATTCCCATATTTAAATGGAAGTTCTAACTTTAAATTTATGCACCACCTTTTGAACTGATTCATTACAGACATGAGTCTTCGCCTTAACTTTGCAAATGTATTCTAAAGATAGCATATTTAATATTTTAAACGTAGATATTAATAGTAAATACTTTAAATTACTAGTAGTTAAAAGATAATAAAGGGGCCTTTGAAAAATTGTTGGGTGAAGGCTGGCGTTAAATTAATTGAGGTACGCATTAGATTGCGTTCACGAATGATGAATGGAACTTACGAAAGAGACGCGAGGGTTCAACGACGATACTCGACACATAAATATATTCTATATACAACAGAATTAAATTAAATTAATCAATACTACATATACAACCTTTT